TAGGGTGCAGCCTGCCCCCTTCACTGGGAGGGACACCCCAGGCCTGGGCCAGCCCCACCGTCACCTCGCCCCAGGGCCCATCCTGTCTGCCCCAGGCTTGGTGCTCAAGGGCACGTGAGGCTCACGCTGGCCTCGGGCTCCCCAAGGCCCTGCCCCCACCCCCGCCTCACAGCCCCACTGTGAAGTCACAGCCTTCCACCAGTTCCGCCAGGCCCGCCAGAGACGTGCGGTGGGGCCTGGGGCTGGACATGGCCCCCTGTCCCCAGCCCGACTCCTGCTTGGGTGGTGGACCCCTGAGCCTCCTCTGGTTGTCCTTTTTGCTCACCCCTGCTGCAGGTGCCACCTCCTGTCCCCACGCCCCTGCCCCCACCAGGGCCTTCCCTTTTCCGGGCAGGGTGGGCCCCGTGTCCTCCTGGTGGCCAGCGGGTGGGGCAGACCGGGTGCCTTCACAAGCAGGTGACTGGCCCCCGGGCCATGCGGGCCCCTGTCTTGGCAGCCGGAACCTACTGCGAATGCAGCCTGGGCCTCAGCCGCGAGGCCCTCATTGCCCTGCTGGTGGTGCTGGTGGGCGTCGGCGCCAGCTGCTTCTGTGCCCTGGTCATCGTGGCCATCGGCATCCTGCGAGCCAAGGGGTGCGTGCAGGCCCAGGCCGGGAGCAGGGAAGCCAGGCCAGCCTGTGAGCTGGGTGCTGGTCCCGCCACGAGGGTCCACACCGTCGGGGGGATGTCACAGGGCTGGGAATGGTGTGTTCTGGGTGCGCTGGGAGAGGTGCAGGGACCCAGTGCTGCTGCAGGACTCACCCCCTGCTTTGTACCCTCAGTGACACGTGCCCTGACCACTTGGACAACGGGTGAGTGCCGGGGAGGCCCCAGGCGAGCTGCGTCCCCTCCCTGCCCCTTGCTGTAGGTGTGCCTGCCCGAGGAGGGGGCCCTGCCTGGGTGGTCCAGGCCCTGTCGGCCCTTGCTGACCTGACCGGGCCACACAGGTTGGTGGGGCATTTCAGGGTTCAGGAAGATCGCATGGACCTGCACTCGGTGCACGTGGAGTCCCACCTCCTGGACCCCGACCTGGAGAGCGCCATGCTGCAGCCTCTGGAGGACAGCAGCCTCACCACCATTCCCACGGTGATGCCGCTGGAGGAGCCACCGCCCCCCCCATCCCCCCCACCCCTACCGCCTGAGCAGGGCTGAGGGCAGCTGGGGAGGGGAATTAAACGGGCTCAGCAGTTGTGCTCTGTCCTCCC